TCCCCAGCACCACAGAATTAAATAATAATAATATTAATAATAATAATATTAATGATAATAATGATGATTTGCCAGGGGAATGCAAAATAAAGCCACACTTGAGCACACCCATCCAGTGGCTGAGATGATAATGGCGTCCTTAGTGTTGGTGACACTGGACCCGTAGACGCTGCAAAGTGAGCTGGGGGTGGTGGCACACACCTGTCAGCCACTCAGGAGGCTCAGGCAGGAGGATGGTGAGTTCAAAGCAGCCTCAGCAACTTAGTGAGGCCCGGTCTCTAAATAAAATATAAAAACAGAGGCTGGGGGTGTGGCTCGGTGGTTAAGCACCCACCCGAGGGTTCAATTCCTGGGACAAAGAAAGGAAGAAGTGGCCCTGCATGTGGCTTAGTCAGAAAGTGCCCCTGGGTTCCATGCTCAGTGTCAATCATCCATCAGTGAACCCCAGGACTCCACTGTGGGGACTCCACCTTGAGCTGATCCTAATGGCCTCCCAAGGCCTCACCTCTCAACCCCATAATTGGATTAAATTTCCACTCTCCTCCTTTTTTCCGACCTTTTTTTCCAGTTGTAGATGATAATAACAGCACGCTTCTATTTTCTTGGCTTATTTTTGTCTGCGATGCTCATAAATCCACATCCTTTTAAAAWTTTTCTGATTTTTTTTCTTTTTGTTTAGCCTCTGCCTATCAGAACAGTCAGCCTTTGGTTTTTGGGGGGGACTGGCTTATTTTGCTTAGCACGATAGTCTCCRGCTCCATCCATTTAYCAGCAAATGCCATCGTCGCATCCTTGTTTATGGCTGAGTAATATTCCACAGAGATCCACGAGTTTGATCATTTTCATCTAAAAGGAAGGTGCTATGTATCTGTAGCTGCCTCTAAGATTTTTTTTTTTAATTTTGGAAGTTTGAGTAAGACACGTCTGGATGTGGATTTCTCTGGATGGTTGGGGGATCCATCCATTCCTTGGATCTGTAGGACTCTGTCCCTTACCAATTTCTGGAAATACTCTCTCATTATTTCTTTGAATACCTTTTCGGCCTCACCCCGTTTCTCTGCTCCCTCCAACACCTTGACCTGATGTTAGACCTTTTGTAAGACCCAGGAGCCTTTGAGATGCTATTTATTTCCCTTCTGTCTATTTTTTCCTATTTTTCAAACTGGAAATTTCCTCTTTTTCTATCTTCATATCCACTACATTTTTCTCCTACTCTGGTAGGTTATGGAATTTTTAAAATTATTATTTTTCCTGTTGTTGTATGTTTCCTTTTTAAAAATCCTGAAATAGCCATTGGGCCCTCCTGGATTTCCTGAGATTTTTGCGCTTGTTTTAGGAATTTTCATCACTGTTCATCAAAGCATCTTTTTTTCTTCAGGAATGAGGCCCGCGGTGGTCCACCACGGAGCTGGGTCCTTGGCCCTTTTTTGGATCTGTTTTATTTTGGAGGCAGGGCCTCCCTGAGTCCCGGAGGCTGGCCTCCAACTTGGATTCCTGCCTCACCTGTCAAGGGCCTTGGATCAGACCTGGAACCATTTCCTTGTGGATGGTGTTTGCTCAACAAGTGATTTTTTTTTTTTTTTTTTGGTGGGGGGCACTGAGGTTTGCGCATGACTGTTGGGAGAGGAAAGTCCAGGTTCCCCATTTCTACCCTGTATTTTTAGCAAAATGAGAGGCCACTGTCTCTGCTGGGAACGGTGGCCCAGGCCTGTAATCCTGGAACTCTGGAGGCTGAGGCAGGAGGATCGCAAGGTGGAGGCCAGCCTTCACAATTTAGCAAAGCCCTGAGCAACTCAGCGAGACCCTGTCTCTAAATAAAATACAAAAAAAGGCAGGAATAGGATTCACTGGTTAAGTTGGCACTGGGTTCGACCCCCAGTGCCAAAAAAAGGCTCTGGGGGTGGTGGTGAGGCTGGCCTCCACCTTGCAATCCTCCTGCCTCAGCCTCCTGAGCTGCTGAGGTGACAGAGGTGGGCCACCTTGCCTAGCACAGGATGGGGTCCAGATCTGAGCCTGGTGGCCAGGGATCAGTGGGCTGTCCCCCTGGGGACTGGGAGCACCCAGTGCTGGGGCCACCTGGAAAAGGGAAGAATGCCCCTGGGAGTCTATTTTTTGAGGTCACTCTGAGTCATACAAATGCAGAAAGGACCCCTGAAACTGCTCCAATGGCCCAGACACCCCGGGACAGAAGCAAGTTCCTAGGAGTCATTCCTCATTTGCACAGTCAGCTGCCCTGTCCCCTGGACTGTGTCAGGCGCAGAGAATTGAAAACCACAGAGAAAATCCAGAACAGCTGTGCTGACTCATTTCCCCTCCGTGTGATGTGGGGTCAGGAGCCCCAAAGCCACAAACCCAGGGTCGATTCCGAGCTCCACCGCTGTCCCTAGCATTCCACTTCTCCTTCCACACTTGAAGAGCGCAGGGTCAGAATCCATGAGGTCACGCGAGGAGGACCTCAGATCTAAACCAGAGGGAGGGCACTGCTGGGGCGGGAGCTCGGGACCTGCCACTCAGGGCTCCTCGGTAGCAACAGCCACTTGCCATTTTGCTGTCCAGAAAATGACCTGCGGAGGTCTTCTCTGCCTCTGGCTGGTTGTCCTTTTCTTGTTGATTCTTGGGAGCTCTTTATATATTATCATCCATCCTATGTGTTGGAAGAGAGCATCTCCAGAGCTCCTGTTTTGGAGCCTTAACAAAAAATAACTAATTTTAATGGAGTCAAAATGATCCATCGTTTCTTTTTTTATTTATTTATTTTTAACATCTTGTTTAAGGAATCCTTCCCTAGCCAGGCGCAGTGGTGCACACCTCTCATCCCAGCGGCTCGGGAGGCTGAAGTAGGAGGATTGCAAGTTGGAGGCCAGCCTCAGCCACTTAGCGAGTCCCTAAGCAATTCAGTGAGACCCTGTCTCTAAAAAAAAATACAAAAAAAAAAGGGGGGCTGGGGATGGGGCCTCTAAACTCTCCCAGGAGACAGCTGGAGGTCAGGGCTGGGCCTCCAAAGGGAGGTCGGGGCTCTCTTGGGGGTCACTGAGCCCAGAACAGGAAGAACCCTGAGTGGTCCCACAGAAGACAGAGTGGATTAGAGTCAGGACCACCAACTGCTGGGATGAGCTGCTCCCAGCTCTGCCACTGACCAGCTGGGAAATGGGCAGGTCTGTCCCTCTCTCCAGCCTCAGTTTACCCATCTGTGCCATATTGGTGCACCTTCACGGACTGTCAATACTAGATGACGGCAAGTTAAATAGCCAATAGGACTTTTTTGGGGGGAAGTATCAGGGATTGAACCTAGGGGTGCTTAACCACGGCGCCCCATCCCGTTTCAAGACAGGGTCTTAATTACTGAGGCTGGCCTCCAACTTGCGATCCTCCTGCCTCAGCCTCCTGAGCTGCTGGGATGACAGGCGTGCGTCTCTGCGCTGAGCTGCACATAGGACTTTTGAAAAAGGTGCTCGTCCTCATTCGGGGACACGAAATATGAAATCCACCATGAAAATCTAGTCTGCACCATTAAGACCTGACTGGACCAAGGGTGGATGGGGGTGGGAGGCAGCAGGGGACATCAGGGCTGGGGCTGTGAACTGGGGCCATCCATCTGGAGAGCTAAATGCACCCCCCGTGCATGGCCAGATAGTCCACCCCTGGGACTAAACGTGCCCAGCAAAGTCACATGGGTGACATGCTCATCAGAGCCCTGAGCAGGGGGTCAGCCCAGTGCCTGGACGATCAGCTGCAGAAAGAGCAAGAATCCTGCAAAAGAGGCCGGGCACAGCTGCCTGGGAGCAGAGCAAGCAGCACACATGGTGTGATCCCACTTCTGCCATGTCCCCAAACAAGTCACACAAAAGAACATTGCCATTCTGAGAGCCCAACACCAGTGGCCACACCCCAGGAAAAGCCAGGGGAGGCTTCGCACGGCAGAGAGGGAGGCTGCCCCTGGGACTGTCGAGGGTCACCCTCTGTACGGAGGACACCAGTCACGCTCGGTGCAAACTGTCCCCTGCAGGTCACCGGAGGGGACCCTGCCTGGGACAGCGTTTGGGGGGCGCTCTGCCCTGTCGGGGGTGCCTGGCGCTCGCAGGGGCTGGCTGTCCCCCAGGGAGACCTTCTCAGGGCGAGAAGCCTGGTGTCCCCCCTTCGGGGACACAGCCGATGAGCGCTGTCCCTAAGGGGCTGGAGCCGCCCCGCTACCCGGGGGGTCGGGCGCACGGCCAGCTCCCGCGTCCCGCCCGGCTTCCTTCTCTAGGTGGCGAGGATCGGGGTCGTGTCCTCCGAGGCTCCCGCTGCAGGGACCCGGGGCTGGGGACCTCGCTCCCAGGCAGTGTCCCAGAGGAAGCCACCACCCCCACCCCCAGGGCCTGCAGGGGGCCGCGCTGCCCGGCCAGGAGGGGCAGATGCACCGGCGCAGGGGTCGTGCCACCCACAGACGCCGAGGCCGGAGGCCAGGAGCGGGGACAGCACCCCGAGGGCTCGGGCAGGGCGCTGGCCTCCCCCGGCCTCAGTTTACCCTCTGCCCGATGAACTCCGTCCCCGAGATCGGACCCACAGAGGCCGACCCCGGTTTCTGGAGACGTGCGCCCAGGCCAGCCCGGGCGCGCTAGACTCCCGGGACGCCCCTCCGAGGCCCCGGCGACCACAGCGACTTCAGGCGGGTGGCGGCATCGCCCTTTGAAGGCGGGCGGTGGGGCCCGGCGGGCGCGCGGCGCGGGGCAGAGCGCCCTCTGGAGGCCGCGGCGGGTCCCGCCTCCCGCCCCGCCCCCGCCAGCCCCGCCCCCGAGCTCGGGGCGGCGCATGCGCGCGGCGCAGCGCTCCGCGGGCGGCGAGAGCGAGGCCGGTCCGCAGCCGCGCGGCGCTGGGCGCCCCATTCATGCTGGGCAGCGGCGGCGCGGCCACGCAGCGGAGCCCGGGCGCGGCGGCGGCCTCGGCCTGGGCGGCCTGCGCGGCTTCGGCGGCCCCGCGGCGGGGCAGGCGGCGGCGGGGCGGGCGGCGGGGCGCGGCGATGGCCGGCGGCGGGGCGCGCCCCGGGGCAGCCGGTGAGTCGGGCGCAACTTTCCCCGCGGCGCTGCGCGGGGCGGGTGGGCGGGGAGCGGGACCCGAGGACGGCGGCCGGGCCCGGGCGGGGGTCCGGGGCCCGGGGCAGGCGCCCGGCGGGAGGCGGGAGGCGGGATGCGGGGGGCGGCCTCCGGCGGGCGCTCCGCGGGCGGCGGGGCAGGGGGTGTGCGCGGGGGACTGCGGCGCGCGTGTCCGCGCTCCGCGTGTCCCTGCGGCTCCGGCCGGGCGCCCGCGTGTGTCCGGGCGCGGCCACGGCGCGGGCGCTGAGCTGCCGCGTCCCCGCGAGGCCCGATCGGACCGCGGCCCCAGGCCCAGCGCCCGGCCTCCTCCTGCTCCTGCGCCGCGCGCCCCGGCCGCCCCGGCCACCCCGGCCACCCCGGCCACCCCGGCCACCCCGGCCACCCCGGGCCGCTGAGGTCCTCCGGGCAGCGCTCCGGGGCGGCGCGGCGGGGACGGGCGCTGCCCCCTCCCCAAAGGCAGGAGAGAAAGTTTGCGGCGGCCCCTCCGGGAGGGCCCTGCGGGGGCCCCGTCCGCGCCCGGGCGCGGGATCGCGGGCGCGGACCTGGGGACGCGGCGATCGTCGGGCTGGGCAGGCCCGGGCAGGGCTCGGCGGCGACCGCGGGAGCCCGGGCAGGTCTGGGGGGGCTGCGCCCTGGGCGGCCCTGCGCGCCGGGGTGGAAGTTGGAACCGCTTCCTGGGGACCGCCGCCCGCCCCCGCCTCCTCTGGCCCCGGGTGCCGGGAGCTGGGCGCTGGGTCCAGCCCAGGCCCGCAGGGCCGCCACGGGGCTGGGAGGGGGCGGTGCGGGTGGCACCCGGGAGGCCAGCCCTGCTGGGGCCTCCTCGGCCTCCCCCCCCCCAGCAGGGCCTCCCCAGGGTCATTTCGCTTCCTTCGGAGGCTTTCCATGGCTTCCTGGACCGTCCCGGGCCTGGTGTGCAACGTAGCTGGCCGCGGCCACTGGCTGATCCGGGGCTGCCTCCAGGAAGCGGGAGCAGGGGACTCCAGGGAGGCCCCTGTGCCCCTGGTGAGATCCCGGCTGCAGCCCGGGATGGAGGGTGAGAGGGGCTGCTTGGTGCCCTGAGCTACCTTTGCGCGTCTGTGGGGTGCTGGGGCCACGCCCCTTGAAAGAAAGGGGTGTGTGTGGGGGGATGGGACACGGCCGAGCCTCTGTCCCCTCAGTGCCGCTCCTGCCGCGGGCTGGCCGGCTGGCCAGGGCTGCGGTGCTGGCTCACCTCCTCATCCCAGTCCGAGTGGGGTGGGGCTCATGGTGGCTCCCCGGGTCCTTGGGGAGCATGCCCCAGGTCCCCTGCCTCCCCACTGGTTTGGGGTGTTCTGGAGAGGAACGGGGCAGAGCTAGGTGTGCCCAGTTCCGCCTGGCCCTGAAGGAGGTCCCCAGTCCCGTGCATGCCCCAGGCAGAGAGGCCAACCCTGGGAGAGTCTGCTGCAGGGTCAGGCGTCCAGGCACCTGGGACCCTGGAAAGGCATTGCAGTCAGAGGGGGGGACAGGCCAGGGCGGAGGCCGGGCTCTTGCAAGCCCTGTGTGGCTCAGCTGGGTGCTCTCGGGATGGCGGTGAACGTGGCATAGCCCCTTTGCTGGACTGCTGGGCCCCTAGGTCATGGCCTGCCTGTTGGGTGCCCCCCGGGGAAGATGCTCATGTCTGGAGCATGTTAGAGCAGCTGGGCAGAGGAGAGGGCACCCCCAAAGCCAATCACCAGCAGCTGGCACTTTTTCCGAGAGCAGAACAGCAAGGTTTCTCCAGGTCCTGCCTGGTCCCGTAGGGCTGATGGGGATCAGGGCCACTTGGAACCACCTTCTGTATCCTCCGATGGGGGGAGGTGGGGATGACCAGGGCAGCCCCCTTTCTGGATGCTGCTGGAAATACCTCTGGGCACGGTGTGATTGTCTTCCATGTCCCCCCACGTCCCCACCTGTCCAAGCCCCGGAAGGATCCAGAGTGGGAGGGTATCGGTTGTCATCCTTCTGAGGTCTTTGTTTCTTGGGGCAAAAGAGGAGCCGTGGTGTCATCCAGGTGTGGAAGAGGGAAGGGGACATGGATCTGCATGCCCCACTGGAGGGCCGGTCCCATGCAGTCCAGGCGTGGAGTCCCCCCGGGTCACAGCGCTGCACCTCCTGCCTGTAGCTTGGCTCCTCTCGGTGGCTGGCCCCGTTCGGTACACCCAACACCCGCTCTGCCCTCCTGGCCTGGCTCTGACTCAGCCTGGCACCCACCCCATCTGCATGTCCAGCACATTCCCGTGCCAGGTCTCTCCTCCTGCTGCCCTGCGCCACAGAACCGCCCCTCGTCCCCCACCAGTGTGCCCAACATGCCTGGTCCTCCCAGTGAGACCCCCGAGGGCATCCTCTGCAGGCCACAGTGGCTGGCCAGCATCCCTCCCTTCTCCGTGGAGAACAGCATCTGCGGGTCCTCCCTGTGCCCAAGCGCACCTTTGGGTACTTTTTCCTGGGCACACCTCAGGCCTGGGGCAATCGCGCCTCTGCAGATTTCCTAGGTAGCCCAGGGTCTGTCTGCAGAAGCTCTGGATCTGGCTCCTACCTTGCTGGGACTAGCTGGGTGACCTTGGGTCTGTCTGAGCCCTGAGTCCTGTATCTCTAAAGGTAGCAAAAGTAGCCCAAGCCTTGTCCTGTGTGGCTTTGTTAGACGGTGGGTGTGAGGGAGCCAGCATCGGCCTGGGATCCCCTTCTTCCCCTGGCTGGCAATCGGGTGCCCCCCCGCCCCAGGCCAGTTCTTGCCTTGGGAGGAGACAGAGTGGGCCCTGGGCCAGGCTGGAGTTGGGATGGTGGCTTCTTCAGCCGGGTCCCTCCTGTTTAATATAAAAAGTGGAGCCCATAATTGCATTAAGACGTGTATAATTATCCCAGAGGAGGGGAGAGCCCGGCCCCTGGTAATTGCAGGGCTGCTTTGAACTGATAAACGGTGAGTGATTCATGTTTTCTTTGGAGTTCCAATGCGCTCAGCTCTCAGCCCAGGCCCGCTGCTGCCTGGGCAGGGGACCTGTCTCCTGGCTCCCTGGTCCGCCCCAGGCCTCTAGTGGGGGCGGTGGTGGAGGATCCTCTCCCGGCTGCTGAGCTGGGGGTGATGTCAATGACCAGGAAAGGCAACCAACAGCCTGCTGGGAGGAGCCCAGACGTGCTTCTGCTCTGAGAGTCGAGCCAAAGCGCTTTGCTGCCCTGAGCCTCAGTTTCCACACCTGAGCAGCAGAGGGTGGGGGCAAGAGGAGAGAGGCAGACAATACTCCTGTATTTATTATTATTATTATTATCATTATTATTATACTGAGGCTTGAACCCAGGGGCACTTAACCCCTGAGCCCCATCCCCAGCCCTTTTTGGATTTTATTGAGAGACAGGGTCTCGCTGAGTTGCTCAGGGCCTTGATATGTGGCTGAGGCTGGCCTCCAACTTTTGATCCTCCTGCCCTGGCCTCCTGAGCCTGTGCAGGGATTAGAGGCATGCACCGGGCTTGGCTTTGGGGATAGAGTGGCGAACCACACCTAGCCAGACCCTCCTGTGTCAGAGCTGCCATTCTGTCAGGGGCAGTGTCTGGGAACAATAGGTAACACAAACCACAGACTAAAACAGGGCACTGGGCACTGTGAGCGGGTGCCTCCAGGGAGCAGTTCATGGGAGATGTCTCAGGTGACACCCGAGCAGGGCACTCTAGGTGAGGACACGGAGGCCCAGGAGCTGGCTGGACTGTGGCCGCAGATGTCATCTTTAGGCCTCAGTTGTTCCACCTGAGAAATGGGGCTGCCCAGCCACAGGGCAGGCATTGGCCGGGAGTCAGGAGGAAGGTATCCGCAGCCCTGGGGTTCAGCCAGGAGTGGGGAGAGGCCCCCAGCACATGGGCAGGCCATCCTCTTCCTCTCACCCCCTTTACAGGTGGGTAAACTGAGGCTGGGGAAGGGGCGCGTCCCGAGAGTCCGTGTTGGACCCAGTGGCTCCCCGAGTCAGCGGGGTGCCACGGCAGGATCTGACAGTCACGCCCAGGTTTGGGGGATGGTGACCTCCGTGCAGGGCTCCTGGCCACAGGTGGACGTGGTGGAGAGTGGCTGAGGGACGCAGTTGTCCACGCAGGAGGGGTGAGCCATTTCGTGGAGGTTCGCGGAGGAGGCTGGGTTCCCAGAGGGTTAGCCCAGAGTCACTCCCTGGCTGGGAAGGAGGGCAGCTCGGCTTCGATCGTTCCTGGGAGTGACCTGAGGCTGTTGAGGTGAGCCAGTGAGTGACCCAGGGACAGTGGCCCAGACTGCCCCCGGCTTAGGCTGAGAGGCCCGGCCTGTGTGGCCGGAGGATTGTGGGGTTCTTGTGGGGTCCCTGAGTGGGGCCAGCCTGGGCCATGGCTGCGGAGAGCCGCAGGGGAGCGCAGCTCATTTGAGAGTGCTTGGTGCGCGCTGGCCCCGTGCTGCGCCCACCCTGGTACTGGGTCAGGAGGTGGGTTCTGTACTTACAGGGCACGTTCCCGTGGGCGCCCCGTAGAGGCCTGTGGGATGGAACCAGGCTGCCCTCAGGGGGACCTGTGAGAGCAGGCTTTGGGGACACATCTCCAAGGTCCACTTACCCCGGGGGCAACCCTGTGTTTGGGTGGGGACCGAAGGGGGCCTGGATGTGGATCTGGGAACGAGCTCGGAAGCCCGCCTGTGTCCAGCTTTTATAGGGCAACAGTGGTGCATGTCCCCCGCAGCCCCAGCCAGGGAAGTGTCACTGGGAATGAGGAGCTTGGGGCCAGGGGTCTGTCTCCCTAGGGCGTAGTCAGGCTCTGAGTCAGAGGAATCCTGTCCAACTTGGAATGTCAGCTGTGACTCCAGTCTAGACCCCAGGCCCTCGGGACCCCCAGGGGTGGTTCCCCTCTGCCAGCAGTGGCAGGGCACAGGCATGGAATTGGCGCAAGCAGGTGTCCTGTGCTGCTCCTGGTAACCACTGCTTGGTCTCCGTGACACCTGGCTCACCCCTGGCTGCCTGCAGGGCCCCAGCCAGAAGGGTGACCTCTCTCAGCTTCTGGCTCCCTGCTGGGAGGAGCGGCCCTTCCTCCTGGAGTGTGGTAGAGGGGTCCGTGCAGGATGCACGTGCGCGGAATCCCGCAGGATGCGCACGCGCTGGACAGGACGTGAGTGCTTTGCGCGCGCTCTGCGCCCATATGCCAGGAGGGTGACCTCTCCTAGCTCTGGCTCTCTGCCGGGAGGAGCAGCCCTTCCTCTTGGAGTGCGGTGAAGGGGTCCGTGCAGGATGCGCAAGCGCTGGACAGGACGTGCTTCCTTTGCGCGCACTTTGCGCCCAGGCCAGGAGGGTGACCTCTCCTAGCTCTGGCTCTCTGCCGGGAGGAGCAGCCCTTCCTCTTGGAGTGCGGTGAAGGGGTCCGCGTAGGATGCGCGTGCGCGGAGTCCGCGCAGGATGCGTGCGCGCTGGACAGGACCTGCGTGCTCTTTGCGCGCGTGCTGCGCTCATGCTCACCGGCCTTCTCCTGCCCCTTCTCCCCCAGGGCTGCGGCTCCCGGCCCCGTGATGCTTGCCCCTGCAGGACCTGAGCACCGGGGCCCAAGGCCCGGGCGCGCCATGCCGCTGCCACCTGTGCGCCCGCAGGCGCTCTCCATGCTGCTGCCCCTGCTGCTGTTAGGGGGCCTTTGGGTGGCCGCAGGCTCGCCCAGGACGGACGGGACCCCGCCACCTGCCTTCCGCACCTTCGTGGCCAGCGACTGGGGCCTCACCCACCTGGTGGTGCACGAGCAGACGGGCGAGGTGTACGTGGGCGCGGTGAACCGCATCTACAAGCTGTCGGGGAACCTGACGCTGCTGCGGGCGCACGTGACGGGCCCCGTGGAGGACAACGAGAAGTGCTACCCGCCGCCCAGCGTGCAGTCGTGCCCGCACGGCCTGGGCAGCACGGACAACGTGAACAAGCTGCTGTTGCTGGACTATGCCGCCAACCGCTTGCTGGCGTGTGGCAGCGCGTCGCAGGGCATCTGCCAGTTCCTGCGCCTGGATGACCTCTTCAAGCTGGGCGAGCCTCACCACCGCAAGGAGCACTACCTGTCGAGCGTGCGCGAGGCGGGCAGCATGGCCGGGGTGCTGATCGCGGGGACCCCCGGCCAGGGCCAGGCCAAGCTGTTCGTGGGGACCCCCATCGACGGCAAATCGGAGTACTTTCCCACGCTGTCAAGCCGGCGGCTCATGGCCAACGAGGAGGACGCGGACATGTTCGGCTTCGTGTACCAGGATGAGTTCGTGTCCTCGCAGCTCAAGATCCCTTCGGACACCCTGTCCAAGTTCCCCGCCTTTGACATCTACTACGTGTACAGCTTCCGCAGCGAGCAGTTCGTGTACTACCTCACCCTGCAGCTGGACACCCAGCTCACGTCCCCCGACGCGGCCGGCGAGCACTTCTTCACCTCCAAGATCGTGCGCCTGTGCGTCGACGACCCCAAGTTCTACTCCTACGTCGAGTTCCCCATCGGCTGCCAGCAGGCGGGCATCGAGTACCGCCTGGTGCAGGACGCCTACCTGAGCCGGCCTGGCCACGCGCTGGCCCGCCAGCTGGGCCTGGCCGACGACGAGGACGTGCTGTTCACCGTGTTCGCCCAGGGCCAGAAGAACCGGGTCAAGCCCCCCAAGGAGTCCGCGCTCTGCCTCTTCACCTTGCGCGCCATCAAGGAGAAGATCAAGGAGCGCATCCAGTCCTGCTACCGCGGGGAGGGCAAGCTCTCGCTGCCCTGGCTGCTCAACAAGGAGCTGGGCTGCATCAACTCGGTGAGTGCGCAGCCGCTGGACGTGACCTTGACCGGGACGGTGGCCTTGATGACCAGGGCCCGGCCTCTCCCCCCAGGGATGGACCTCCAGGGGCGCTTCACCCCTGAGCCCCGTCCCCAGCCCTTTTTCTATTTTATTGAGAGACAGGGTCTTGCTGAGTGGCTCAGGGCCTGGCTCAGTGGCTGAGGCTGGCCTCCACCTTGAGATCCTCCTGCCTCGGCCTCCAGAGCCCCTGGGGATGACAAGTGTGCACCCCCCCTGTGTCCAGTTCTTGTCCACATACCAGGATGGCTCCTGCTGGGTCCAGGCCCTGCTCTTGGCCGCCTGTGAGCTCAGCCCTGTGAGGCAAGGGCTGCTGCTGTCCTGTGTTGCAGGGGGTCATGCTGACCCCCAGATCCTCTTTCTAGCCATGACAGTGCCCTGCCAGGCGCTGGGGAGATGGGGTAACAAGCACCCTGCCCAAATGACCCACAAGCCCCTGGGGACATGGGATAGGTCATCCACAGCGTGCTTGGCCCCATGTGGGGTGCTGGCCAGCTGGCTCCTGTCCCTGATTTTCAGACACAGGGGACTGAGGCTCAAGGAGATGTGTGGACCTGACTCTGGTCCTAAGAGGCAGCGCTGGGCCTCACCCCAGTGGGCGCCATCTCCAGAGTCTTTATCTCTCCCCCATGTTTTCCTGGCTGTGCGCCTCTCTCCTGGGGCCAGATGACAGTCCCCTGCAGGCCATGCTTGTCCTCTCCAGAGACAGTGGGCCTGCTGCTGCCCCAGCTGGGCCTCCCCTGTGCTGGGCTGCAGCCTCCAGCACCTCCTGACGGGGGCCAGGCCTCGGCTCTCCGCCATGTTCCCACGCTCAGCTCGAGGGGACCATTAAGGTCGGTTTTTTGGGTCCCAGGGATTGAACCCAGGGGCGCTCAACCCCTGAGCCCCGTCCCCAGCCCTCTTTATATTTTATTGAGATGAGGCTGGCCTCCACCTTGCGATCCTCCTGCCTCAGCCTCCAGAGCTGCTGGGATGACAGGCTCAGTCAGACCAAGGGACTCGTTCAGGGGAAGTGGGACTCTGCCCAGCTCTGCCCTGAGCTCTCTGCCACCACTGCCCGGGACCTGCTAGGTAGCCCAGGAAAACCTGTCCCTCTCTGATTTCCGTCCTCCTGGGTCCCCACCAGGACAGGCACTGGCTCTTCTTGGGGCACAGCGGGGTGGCCAGGGTCCCCCCCTTTTGCCTTTGGATGCCACAGGCTGTCCCGTCTGAACTGGATCCTGTCTGTCTTCACGTCCCCTCTGGTGGCCAGGGCCACACCTCGGCAGAGGAGGGACCGTGCTGTCACCCCTCGCCACCTGTCCCCTCCTCTCCTGTCCGTCCCTGGCCAGAACCCTGAGGCCACCTGCTACACCGGTCGCCTGTCCTTTCCTCCCCAGGGACCCAGAGTCAGGCGCAGGGCCAGCGGGTGCCCACAGCCTCCGCCTCCCTTTTCCCGTCTGTGAAATGGGCCTGCGGCCTCTCGCACCTGGGGCCCTCTGTGGGGCTGGGGTGGCCCTGCCCAGGGAGGAGGCTCACCTGTCCCTTCCTGCAGCCCCTGCAGATCGACGACGACTTCTGCGGACAGGACTTCAACCAGCCCCTGGGGGGCACGGTCACCATCGAGGGCACGCCCCTGTTTGTGGACAAGGACGACGGACTGACCGCGGTGGCTGCCTACGACTACCGGGGCCGCACCGTGGTGTTCGCCGGGACGCGCAGCGGCCGCATCCGCAAGGTAGGCTGCTGCGGGGGGTGGTGGCCGGGGCCAGTGAACGCCCCATCCCAAGCACAAGGACGGCACTGAGTTGCCGAGGCTGGCCTCCACCTTGCCATCCTCCTGCCTCAGCCTCCTGAGCCACTGGGGTGACAGGTGTGCGCCACCAGAGCCAGGTGGAACCATTACACTTTCCTGCGGGTGACCCCAGGCTCAGTCAGAGTAAGGGACTTGTTCAGGGACAGTGGGACTCTGCCCAGCTCTGCCCTGAGCCCTCTGCTGCCACTTCTGCTGGTGGAGGAGGAGTGTGGGGACGTCACTCTGGGCCAGGCTGAGTGACCTGGAGGGGCTGAGCTTAGCCTGGGGTCCTGCTGAAGGACCCATCTCCCCTCTGGGCTCCCTCTGGTCTCCTGGCACGGGCCATCGGGTCACCCTGACCCCTCCCGCGTTCTCTGTGCCCAGGCCCTTCCACAAGGGGACCTTCAGGATTTGTCTGTCCGGGAGCTTGGGGCCTGGGGACACTGCGGCTGGATTCCAAAGGTGCAGGGTGACCTCCAGGGGGGCAGGGCGGGCCCGCGCGGCCCCCTCCCCGCTGCGCCCTGAGATCCAGTGTCTGCTGAGACAGCACTCCGCCCCGGCCCGGCCTCCACCAGAGGCCAGGCCAAGAGCAGGCCAAGGGCAGCGCCCGCTCCCCCCCACAGGCCGGTGCTGGAGGAGCAGGGTGACTTCAGAGACCTGGCCACGCGGGGGCTGCCCTGTGGCTCTGGGGTGGAGCCCCGAACCCGCCACTCAGCACACACTCATGGTACCAGGGAGGCCGGAGGAGCTGGGAGAGCCACCATACACTCTCTGGGTGGGTGGGTGTTGGGGTTCAGTCGAAGCTGGGTGCCCCAGAGCCTGCCACCCACCAGGGGACCCGGCTCTCTTGGGTTAATCTGCTGGCCCTGGTGGCACACGCCTCTGATCCCAGCAGCTTGGGAGGCTGAGGCAGGAGGATCTCGAGGTAGAGGCCAGCCTCAGCCACAGCAAAGCCCTAAGCAGCTCAGGGAGACCTGGTGTCTAACTGAAATACAAAAATAGGGCTGGGGACAGGGCTCCATCCCCGGGACCCCCCCAGGAAAGAAAGGGGACTGTCCCCTTGAATGGTGGGTGGGTGGGCTGAAGGGGTGGCAGACAGGCCACCTGAGGCTGGCGGAATGGGCCCCTCCAATCCTGCCCCCCGGGCCTCGCCCCGCTCAGCGCAGCCTGGCGGGAGGCTGAGTCCCTGTGTCCCCTGGGCCTCGCGTTGCTAGTCACGCTGTGACCTCAGAGGGACACAGCCCCCCGTCCTGGGCGCCCGTCCTGCCACCTGGGTACTGGGGACATGGAGGAGGCTCGTGTGGCTCTTGAGTGGATGGGCCAGCTGTGCCCGGGGCTGCTGGCCCAGTGACGTCAGAGCCTGGGGGGATGGCTCTGCAGTGGAATCGGATGTGCCCCAGGACACAGGCAAGGCCACATGGGTGAGGGACTTAGGACGTGAGAACCCTTCTGCCCCCTGTGAGGGGTCATGAACCTGTCGAAGCGTCCCTCGTGCCCCGTGGCACACCTTTGGTACCTCAGTGGACACACGGTGGGCTGGGCATGGATCTCCGTTTCCCTCCTGATCCGCTGTGTGACCTCCGGCCAGCCGCTTACCCTCTCTGAGCCTCAGATTTTCCCACGGCCTCTCCAGAACCTGGCGGCTTCCTGCTTCCTTGGGGGCCCTGTGTGGACACTGGGAGTTCTCAGTTTGACAGATGAGGAAACCGAGGCACGGGGGGGGGCTGCTGGCTCCAGGCCCCTCCCTTTTTTTTTGGTGGGTCCTTGGAGGACGTGGCGGGAGGCCTGGCCGCTTTCTGAGAGCGCTCAGCTCCTCCTTCCGTGGCCTTTGTCCCCCGCTGCGGGCGTGTGGGGTCCCCTGCCTGCCCCTGACCTAGCCAAGGGGGCCGCCTGCTTGTCCTCTTGCCCTTGAACCTGCCCGGGGCACCGTCCACCGTGGGTGTGGTGTGAGGTTCCTTGAGGTTGGTGTGGCCTCTGTTTCCAGCCTCCCGTGGTGACTCGGAGTCCCCCTCTGCCCGTCCTCCCCCTAGGTCCCTGCCTGGGAGTGGGGTGGCCGTGCTCCAGGGTCAGGGCCAGGGCAGATCCCCTCCCTGCTGGGCAGGGCGGGCCTCCCTCTCTCCCTGTGTTTACTTGGAGCAGCCTCCTGTCCCCTGAGGCCGGGCACAGTGGGTGCCGTGTCCCCGCCTCCTGCTCTCTTTGCTGCCGGTTACAGCCTGGACCCTGGGGACACCCCTGTCCCCCGGCCCAGCCCTGGTGCAGGCCTGCAGGGCTGGCCACGCCCCCTCTTTCCCAGGCCTGGTCCTTCCCGGGCTTTAAAAAGCATCTGGGGAGCCCAGGGGACATGGCTGGCCCGGGGCCAGGTCCTGCCCAACGTGCTGGCCTCCGCTGTGCGCCTGGCTGGGGGCCCCCGAGCCCTGCCTGGCCCTGCCCCTCCCCCTCCCAGGCCACCTCTCCTGCAGGACCCTCTCAACCCTCCCCCGGGGGTCCCCAGCCCTGGGCACAGCTCCTCCCAAGCAGCGTGCACCCTGGCGGGGACTTCAGCGCCTGGCCTCCTGTGGCCCGGGTTTCCCCATCTGCAGTGCAGCAGGGGACAGTCCCCGCCCTGTCGCTGGGCCACAAAGGGGCACCCCGGGCCGGCCTCACGCTGCTGCAGCGGGACCCAGGGGGCTGGGCCCGTCTGAGGCACCGCCTGCCCTCTCTGGTCACCGTGCCAGGCCTGGTGATGTGCCCGTCGCCTGCGCATCCCATTTTTCAGGAGGATCTGGTCCCTGGGCTCTGAGGTCTCTGACTGTGATCGCTGGCAGCTGTGATGGGCAGAGTGTCAGGGGCCAGCTCCTGCACCCCGGTGGCCACCACACCATGGCCAGGGACCTGCGCTGCAGGACCACGCTGCTCAGGAAGGAGGCCTGGGGGACGGCCCTTCCTGTGTGTCCTGGGGCTGCCAGGAGGTGGGAGATCCTCCTGCCTCGGCCTCTCCGCTGGGCTCCAGCCTCAACCCCTGCCTGACCCTCCTCCCTTTGCAATGGCTCTGCTTCGTCACACGCGTCCCTGAGCTTCACGCGTGGTTCTGATGGGCAGGTGTCTAGGTCTCTGCCGGGCTGCCCGGGCCTCGTGACCTGGTCGTCTGATTTCCGTCTCTTGCTGGGTGTTGGTTTTTTGGGGTTTTTTCGGTACTGAGGATTAGACTCGGGGACACTCAACCCCTGAGCCCCGTCCCCAGCCCTATTTTGCATTTGATTTAGAGACAGGGTCTCCCTGAGCGGCTCAGGGACTTACTAAGTTGCTGAGGCTGGCCTCTACCTTGAGATCCTCCTGCCTCAGCCTCCTGAGCCGGTGGAATGACAGACGTGGGCCACTGCACCTGGCTCTCTTGCTGGTTTGAGGTCCAGGTGGGGGCCCTGTTGGCTGTGTGCTGTGTCCAGCTTGTGGTCACTGGTAGGGAAGGGAGGGGACCCGGCTGTCGGCTCCTATGTGCAGTTGCTGTGGGTTTCCTGCTGTGGCCAGGGCTATGGTCCCGCACCTTTGGGGCAGTGGCTCGGACATCTGTGCTTCCTGGAAAGCTGTGTCCGCCTGTGACTGTTCTGGGTCAGCAGGCCACCGAGGAGACCGGGAAGGTCCCCTCCTTGGCCCTGTTGGTCTGACGAGGGCTGCTCAGCCCCGGAGCTGGTGGTGCGTGAGCGTGAGTGTGAGTGTGCGGGCTTCTGCCTCCCAGTGGCCAGCAGAGTCCCCTCCAGACCCACGTGGACGACCTTGGTGTGAAGTGGGCACCTCACCTTTGATGAGACCCTCCTGGGCCCCGCCCAGGGGAGGTGGCTTCCCCACTGGGCCGTCCCCTCCTCCCCGGGCAGACAGGACCCGCGGTGGCTGGGGAGGCTGGAGCAGCTCAGAGGCTGCAGGGACCCAGGGGTGACCATGGGGACCCCAGCCAAGCCCTAGGTCAGGGGTCTGTGCCCGCTGTGTCCCTCTGCCCCACCCCGTGGAGCCGTGAGCTCCTGAATCCGCACGCTCTCCTGTGAGGCGGCTGGTGGCGATGAGGAGACCCAGGGTCAGAATGGTCCCCTGCTTGCTGAGAGGTCACTGCCGGGGCAGGCTGGGGCTGGTCTGCGGCAGCCCTGGCTGTCCACCACCTGCTGGGCCCTGACCTGCTTGGTCCCTACTTCTCCCCCACAAAAAAAGGTCTGGGTGGGAAGCGCAGGATCTCTGTGACCCCCCTGTCCCCTGCCAGGTGCGTGTGGCCCGGTCACAGCCACGAGGCCTCCTGCCAAGAGGAGGTCACCAAGTGCTTTCCCAGGGTCACCCTCCTCCTGGCCTGGCAGCATGGCGGGGACCCGGGAAGGGGCCTGGAACCTGCCCTCAGCCAGGGGGGGCCGCGGGTTGGTGACGGGGAAGGGGACATGGCACAGGAGTCCCCCGCCCCTCCTGCAGCCCCTCCTGGGGACACGTGTGGCCGTGGGTGACGGTCCTCTGGCTGGCCGTCCCAGCCCCGGGGCCCCTGGCCGTCCTCGCGGTGGGGTGGATCTTCCCTCCCGGGTCAGGGCCAAGCTGGGCAGCCCCCTGCCTCCGGGCAGCTAGGGCGCGTGCCGGCCTTGGCTCTCGGCCTGGACGGGCCAGACGTCCCCCTGGGCGCCCCCGCCTGCCCTCCGCCTGCAGAATGGGCCCTTTGTTGCCTCTGGGCTGGAGGGACAGCTGACCTGGCCAGGCCGTCAGCTGCCCGCCCGCCCTCCGCAGCAGTTGGCCAGGCCTTGGGTGGCCCTGGGGGGGGACAGGCTGGGGACACTGGGCGAGCCTGCTCCCTGGCTGTCTATGGGGACCATCAGGGACACTGTGTGGTGGCATGTGCCCTGTCCACAGGGGAGATGGGGACCCAGCCTGCTCCTGGCCTCTCCCTGGGGGGGAGCCTGGGGGTGACTCCCCAGGGTACAGGTGGCGCAGGGGACCCTGAGGACTGGACGTCCAGGCACAAGCCGGGTGGGCTGAGCTGGGTCCCTTCCTGAGCTGGCCGGCGGGGGCCTGTGCCCTGGTGCCGCCGTCTGGTGGCCATGTCCCAGGGGCCATGTCCTTGCAGGTGTGGGGGAGGGGCTGCTGGCCATTCCAGTGGTCCTTGGGGACAAGTGTCCAGACTAAGGAGATCCTGGCTGGAGGTGGCAGGGGACGCCCAGGGATGCCCGTGGCCTGGCCCCCGTGCCCAGGGTACCTCTGCCAGAGGCCCAGCTGCTGTGGCCAGGGAACGGCTGGGCCCAGCTGCCCCAAGAGCAGGCTGCCTCCAGGTGGGTGGCCCCGGAGTGGACAGCTGTGGGCGGCGGCTGTGGGTGGTGGCACGTGGGCCCCGCCATCCTGCCAGCCGCCCTGGCCCTGTGCCCGCCCCACCGTCTGCAATGCCCTCCTGGTGGGCGCCGGCTCCTCCTACTCTGGGGACAGATTCTGTGTCCCCCGTGCAGTGGGGGGGTCTGGTTTGCACCCGGGGTCCCCGTGACACGTATGCGCCCAGGTCTGGCTGGGCCTGGACGTGGGGGCTCTTCGGGACACAGTGTGACTGTCCCTAGAGTCTTGTCTACTCGGGTGCTGCCTCCCGCTGTGTCCCTCTGCGGGTCCCTGCCTCCCTGGGACCCGCCCGTGTGTGTGAAGGGGCAGGGGTGACCCGTGCGGGGCAGGTGGAGGGACAGCTGGCCTCGCGTGCCCCTGGCCGCAGCTGTTGGGGGCCACCTGTCCCTGTCATCCGAGTCGGCCCCGTCCCATGCCTGTGGGTGGGGGGCAGGGTGTCTGGGAGCCTGCGCTGGCCTGTGTCCCCCGATTGTCCAGGACTCCTCTGCCCTCTTCTGCTGTGCCCGGCCCTGGGGACAGGCCCAGTGGGGACAGGAGGCTGGTGCATATAGAAAGCCCCCCCGGGTGTTGGGCGGGGAGAAGGGCCAGGCTCGGGGGTCCACGGGGGGCCGCACACTGGGCAGCGCTGGGTCTTCCCGGGGTGTCCGCAGGTTGGGGACACGGGCAGCGTCCTGCTTGGGTCTGGAGGTCTGGGTCCCCGGCTGGACCCGTCCCTTCCCATTTCACAGATGGGGAAACTGAGGCCACGCGGGGACTCCAGCCCCCACACGGGCTCCCCCGCTGGCCCAGCTCCTGGGTGCAGCACCTCTGTCCCCAACCCGGGGCGTGGGGGTCGTGCACCCGGAGGGGGACATCTGGGTCCCCACCCCCACAGGCCACGGCCGGACTGGCCAGGCGCAGGGCCGGGTGTGTCCCTGTCCCACTCACGGGACGCCCGGCGCTGTGCCTTAGCTCTGTCCGCCTGGTGTCCCCTCCTGGCCAGCGTTCCCAGAGTGTGGGTGACAGGGCTGTCCCCGCCCCCTGCCCGGCTCTTCCGGGTCTGGTTTGACTTAAGCCCCGGGTGGGGAGCAGCTGAGCGGATGTGGGGGGCGGGGGCTCTCAGGAATGTGTCCCTCCCCCTCCAGGGCCGCCTCCTTGGCCCAGAGTCGCAGGCCCCACCCGCTGGCCGCCTGGCCCAGCCCCAGGAGCTGCGGGAGCCAGACCTTGGCTCAGCCCTTGGCCCCAGGCCCTGTCCCTGCCCCTGTGACCAGAGGTGACCGTGCTGGGCAGGCCCGTGACTTGTGGGCAGGAGCAGGCTCAGGCCCGTCCAGGAGCCCAGCTGGGCTGTGAGGACGCCCCAAGTCCCATCTCCAAAGAGTCCCCTGGGTCTCGCTGTTAATGAGATCCATTTGTTTGGTCAAAAGCGACTAAAAATACCGCAGCCTCGTGCGCAGGGCACAGGAGCGGAGCTGGGTGACGGGCCCCGACTTGTCTGGGACCTGGAACACAGTTCCATGCCATCAGGTGCCTCCTCTCCTGCTGGCTTCTGACCCGGGGTGTCCCCGACCCCCAGGACACCCCAGGGCTCCATCTTGGCCTCTACAGCCTCCAGCCTCCTGGCCTCCCTTCTCCTCCTTGTGCCTTGCTCCGCTCTGGGCTCTGTGCCCTGATCAAGGGACCAGGGACTCTCTGGGCCCCGTGGTGCCCTGTGTGGGCTCCCTGTCCTTGAGGCTGGGACCTGGCTCAGCGGGGAGTCCACGTGGCTGACCTTGGCCTCCTCTGAACCCAGCCTCTTCCTGGCGGGGGAGGCTGGGACCTCCAGCCTTGAGTAGGCGTGGGCTGTGACAAGGGCATCCACAGAGCCCCGCTGAGGACCCTCCTCACTGCCGCAGATCCTGGTGGACCTGGCGAACCCTGGTGGCCGCCCGGCCCTGGCCTACGAGAGCGTGGTGGCCCAAGAGGGCAGTCCCATCCTGCGCGACCTCGTCCTCAGCCCCAACCGGCAGTACCTCTACGCCATGACGGAGAAACAGGTGGGCGCCCGGGTGGCTGTGGGGCGAGGTGGGACGGAGGGTGGGGGATCGGGGAGGCTGGGGTCCACTGTGACCCCAGGAGCCACCTCTTCTTCCACAGCCACGCCCAGGGGGCGAGTGGACTTGTTGGGCAGGTCTCAGGGAGCACTTTTTTGTGACAGGGGGAGGGTACTGGGGATTGAACCCAGGGGCCCTCGACCCCTGAGCCCCGTCCCCAGCCCTTTTTAGATTTTATTTAGAGACAGGGCCTCCCTGAGTGGCTTAGGACCTTGCCTTTGCCGAGGCTGGCCTCCACCTTGCGATCCTCCTGCCTCAGCCTCCAGAGCCACTGGGATGACAAACGTGTGCCCCTGTGCCTGGCTCACTGTTTATTTTTGTGTCACCAACCGATCCATGTCCTGGGGAGTAGGGACAGATGTGAGGGTCCTCGCTGCGTCCAGATTCTCCTGGGCCTGGTGTTAGGAGTTCCCAGTCCCTCCCTGTCGGGGACAAAGATTTGGAGGGAGCAGTTTCAGAGCACAGGGGGCAGTGGGGGGCTGGGGCACCGGGGACTGAGGAGGGGGGAGGGCAGGGCCGGTGTGGCAGCGGGGACACCAGAGCTGGCCTCCTGGCTTCGCGGAGGCTAGGAGTGGCCTTGGAAGACAGCACCAGGGAGGCCTGAGGACCAGATGGACTGACACCTGGCCTCCCACCGCAGGTGACGCGGGTGCCCGTGGAGAGCTGTGTGCAGTACGCGTCCTGCGAGCTGTGTCTGGGGTCTCGGGACCCGCACTGCGGCTGGTGTGTCCTGCACAGCGTGTGAGTCGGGTGGCCTTGACCTTGACCTGGTGGCCCGTGGCCTGGGAGGGTGCCACCAGCCTCCCGTGCTACCCAAGGTGCCCAGGGCTCCTTAGGGTCCCTCCTGGGCACCGTGGCCAGGAGCAGGGCGCCCCAGGGTGGCGGGCTGGGCCCTGCGTCCCCGCCCTGGGTGGTGGCCGGCTGGGCGGGTGGCCCTGGGTCCCCTGGCCGGCCTCAGCACCCTCTGACCGCAGCTGCTCGAGGCAGGACGCGTGTGAGCGGGCGGACGAGCCCCAGCGCTTCGCCTCCGACCTGCTGCAGTGCGTGCAGCTGACCGTGCAGCCGCGCAACGTGTCTGTCACCGTGTCCCAGGTGCCGGTGAGTGTGGCCACCCCGCTGCGGGGGACGGGGTGGGGTGGGGACCCCGGTGCCTGCTCACTGCTCCCTTCCGCTGTGGCCAGCTCCTGCTGCAGGCTTGGAATGTCCCCGACCTCTCGGCCGGGGTCAACTGCTCCTTCGAGGACTTCACGGAGTCCGAGGGCATCCTGGACGACGGCCGCATCCACTGTCGCTCGCCCTCCGCCAGGGAGGTGGCGCCCATCACGCGGGGCCAGGGTGAGGGTCCTGCTGTCCCCTGATGGGCCTGGAGAGGACCCCGTGCCCTGCGTAGGGACAGCAGATGGGTGGCTCATGGTGACCAGGCTGCGTAGGTGACAGGAGGGGACCCAGGGCACAGGCGGAGCCAGAGGGGTGCGAGGTTGGGCAGCGGGGGCTACCCTGAGTGTGACGGGCCCTGACCCCTCGGGGCTGCTGTGACCCGTCCCTGAGGTGCCTTTCAGACTTCCCAGGCCACCCTGCGAGCCGGTCCCCGAGGCCACCACCAGGAAGGGGACAGGGTCCTGGGTCCACACGAGGACCTCCAGGGTCCTTGGGCATGTCCCCCCCTGCCTGGGCTTGTCCTGGGCTCTGTCCCCTCCTGGTGGCCCTGGTGGCCCTGGTGACAGGCCCGCGGTGCTCCCCAGGGGACCAGCGGGTGGTGAAGCTGTACCTCAAGTCCAAGGAGACGGGGAAGAAGTTCGCGTCCGTGGACTTCGTCTTCTACAACTGCAGCGTCCACCAGTCGTGAGTGTCCCCGAGCCCCGCCTCTGTCCCCTGCCGTCTCTCTGCAGATGCCCCGTGGGCCTCCCCTCGGGCCAGCTGGGCAGGGAGCAGGGAGAGGCCTTCAGGAGAGCCACCCGCCAGGCAGGGGCCAGGCCGAGGGGGACAGGCAGCGGGTGGGGGGGGGCAGTGCCACCCACAGGGCCCGTGGTGGCCTCGGGTGTGGGGCTGTGTCCTGAGCCGGGGGTGACGTACAGAGTCACACACAAAGCATCCACCTGCCTGGCTCACTGGCCACCACGAGAGCCAGTGGACCGCAGGCAGCAGAATAGAGACCAGGACTTCGGGGAGGGGACAGTCTTGAGTGGGACTGGTCCGGTGGCCCAGAGGGCAGATGGCCAGGGGTGGTGGCATCAGCTAATAACTAGGGAAGTTCTGGAGAGAAGGGGGCAGCCTCCTCCAGAGACTTTGGGCCTGGACCCAGCACCTGTGATGGCCGGTCCCTGTCACAGGGCCCAGCCCCTGTCAGATTCAAACAGACCAGCCGCTGCTCAGGTAGGATGTGGTTCTGGCCAGGGAGACGGGTGTGGTCAGTTCTGTGTGGTCATCACAGCCACTGGTGTGGGGTGACCAAGGCTCTGGAGAAGAGAACAGTGGAGGCGGGGGTGGGGGGACAGGAAGGCAGGCGGGAAACCATTTGGGGGAGGTTTTCTCTCAGAAGCAGCATGTGCAAAGGCCCTGGGGCAGCACGGTGGGAGCGCAGGGCGCCGCGCTCCCGGCTGGGGTGTGGGCCTGGGGCCTGGCTCACCAGCCGCCCTCCCTCTGCAGCTGCCTGTCCTGTGTCAACGGCTCCTTCCCCTGCCACTGGTGCAAATACCGCCATGTTTGCACACACAACGCCGCCGACTGCGCCTTTCTGGAAGGCCGCGTCAACGTGTCTGAGGTAAGGCTCGGTGACAGGGTCTCGGGTCTCAGAGGCGCAGACAGCCCCGCCTGCGTGCCACCCGCGGGCTGGCCGGGAGCGTCCTGTGAGTGGTTGGACGGTTGGGCTGCTGGCCTCGTACCCCAGGGGTGCGACTGACCAGGTCAGTCTGGGAGGGCGCTGGACACTGTGTAGCAGGGTCTGTGGCAGTGGGCACAGCCTCTGGGCAGTCTTGGCCAGTGCTGCTTTGTGGTCTCCTTTGTGACCCATGGGGTACGTGGGGAGGCTTCAGATCAGGCCCTGGGCTGGGCCTCTATTAGGGGGCAGCCCTGGGCGCCCAGGCCACACTGCCTAGGCCCTGGTGGCCGTGGAGTACGAGCCTGGGGCTCAGGCCTGGCCGGGGACACAGGGCCTGGCTGGGGGACACGGGGCCTGGTGGCCTGCATCTCGCAGGCAGACAGGGAACTAACTCTGGGATCAGCTGGTGGGGGACAGTCCTGAAGGACTGGTAATTCAGTGGTCACCCTGGAGCCTGGCACAGCGCTGGGTCTGTCCACGGGCTCTGGGGCAGATCCAGGGCCTGCTGGGCACCGCGTGGGCAGGACGCTGTGGCTGGACAGGCGGGGTGAGGGCAGGTGCCCTGCTGGGCACCTGTGGGGCAGGAAGTGTCCGTGGCTTGGGGCCCTGAGCCTCCTCCCCATGGCCTCCCAGCCACCCCAAGCAGTGGACAGGACAGGTATCAGATGCAGACTCCACGGGGCTGCGTAGGGAGGGCCAGGGGCGCAGGACCCCAGGTGGGTCATGGTCACCTCTCGGCCTGGCCCCGGCTTGACCCAGAAGCCCTTGAGTGAAGGGAGGCCGGGCAGCCTCCACAAAATCCCAGCCTCCCAAGGGAGCCTTCAGCCTTGCCCCAGGTGTCTGTCCACCAGGCCTGGACCCAGGCCTCCCAGAGCCTGGGGGTCACCGTGGAGGCTGGGCAGGCAGGAGGGCAGCGGGCAGAGGGGTGACCTCGGAGTATTGGGGCGGCAGGTCGAGGCTACCCAGTGCTGCTGGCTGTGGGTCGCACCTGGGGCTGTTGGCGGTGGGCAGGTGGCAGTGCGGGACGCTGGCCAGGACCTCCTGTGGGGAGACCCCGTTCTGTCTCCTGCCACCAGCCAAGAAGCTTCCTGGACTCAGTGGCCTCCTGTAGTCACAGTGACAATCCAGCCTGGGCCCGGAGTCCCTGTCCCCTGCAGAAGCCTGGCAGAGTCTCTGAGGAGCTGGCCCGGGACCCAGGGCCCGCTTCGGGAGCTGTGGCAGGCCTTGGGGACAAGGGCCTGTTTTCAGCATCCCTATTTAAAGCCAGGCTCTGCGTCCCCGGGGCGCTCCTCCCCAGGCCGCCACCCGACGTGCTGCAAGGACCCAGGGTCATTGCATCAGGTCTTTGGTGCCGAGACGCTGTCCCCAGGAGCCCGGGCTGTTTTTCTGCTGGGCTCTGGCTATTTTTACACGCTCCGAGGTCCCCAGCTGGGACCTCGCTCCCCAGCACCCCAGTGTTGGTGGCGGCTACCTCTAGGGGCCTGTCAGCCGCAGGCCAGATGGGGCCCCTCCGCCGTCCAGACGCGGGGGTCTTTGGAAGGAGGGGGACATCCCCGGGCCAGCCTGGCAGGGAACAGGATGCACAGAGCTGGCCGCCACTCACGTCCTCAGGGTGCCAGGGCTGACTCTATGGCACGGTCGGTCCCTGACAGACCGCAGTCAGGGCGCACCAGAGCGCGCTCCTCTGGGGCAGGGTGCGGATGAGGTCCCTGGGGTCAGAGTGGACCCCGTTCAGCTGTGCCGGTCCCCAAGAAGCCTGTTGTCCCCAGGACTGCCCGCAGATCCTGCCCTCCACCCAGATCTACGTGCCCGTGGGCGTGGTGAAGCCTATCACCCTGGCGGCTCGGAACCTGCCCCAGCCCCAGTCGGGCCAGCGGGGCTACGAGTGCCTTTTCCACATCCCGGGCAGCCCGGCCCGTGTCACCGCCCTGCGCTTCAACAGCTCCAGCCTGCAGTGCCAGAATTCCTCGGTGAGACCCCGGGTCGGGCAGGCTGGGGTGGTCGCCTCCATTGATCCCCATCCCTAGAGCTCTGGGACAGGGTGTGGATGAGGTCCCTGGGGTCAGAGTGGACCCCGTTCAGCTGTGCCGATTGTCCCCTGAGCAGCAGCTAGACAGTCCCCTGCCCTCCAGCCTGTGTTTCCCGTCTCTGCCACTGAGTCCCGCCTCCCCTGAACCCCACCCACCTCCCCCCACCCCCGGCTCCCTGTTTGGCCTCATCTTCCCTCTCCTCGGGGCTCGAGGGCTGACTGTGTGAACGCGCCCTTCTCTGTGCCCATCTGTAGTGGCGTCCCCTCCTCCCTCCTCTCCGGGCCCACATTTATCTTTCCGAAGCCGCATCTAAAGGGAAGAGAGAGTGTCAAGGAATTTGATGGGATCCAATTAAATTCCTGCAGATAAAAAATGATGAATAGCTGGGCCGCCCCTTGGAGACACTGGGCCCCCTGACTCTGCCCCCAGCACGGGAATGGCGTTTGAGGTCATCGACTCCAGAAAGTGGGACACAGCTGGAGCGCCAGGCCCAGCCCCTGGGGACGGGGTGGTGACACTGAGGCCAGGCCAGCCTGGGGAGGGGCTGGGGTCAGAGCTGAGCAGGACAGTGATTCCACTGGCCAGGGGAAACCCATCGCACCCCGCGGGGCAGCCTGGTCCTTGTCGGGGATGAAGAGACTGAAGTTCACAGAGCATCCCGGACCCCGTCCACAGGGCCCAGCCGAGGGTCCTGGTTTCCCAGCTTCCTTGTGGTTGGAAGTGGTGTCCAGGACGACCCAGGGAGGCTGGGCTGGGGGGGCAGGGAGTTGACCCTGCTCTGGAGGAGGCTTGGCTGCAGGCTGGGGCCCTGAAACCAGGAAGGGAGACCCTGTGAGGCCGTGGGGGAGCCATGCCCGGGGCAGGTGGGGGGCACCAGCAGGTTTCAGGACCCAGGCTGGACACCCCAGGTCTCTCTGGGGACGGTGGGTGCTGGCCTGACCCCCCTCACTGTGGGAGGGGGTGGCTGACCCCGTGCTCCCCCCTGGCAGTACTCCTACGAGGGCAACGACATCAGCGACCTGCCCGTGAACCTGTCTGTCGTGTGGAATGGCAACTTTGTCATCGACAACCCCCAGAACATCCAGGGTGAGCAGGGAGGGGCCGCCCCGGGCACGGCTGGGTGCTGGGAAGGCGGGAGGGTGGGTGGCCAGGGCTGACGCGCCTGCTCCCCGCAGCCCACCTCTACAAGTGCCCGGCGCTGCGCGAGAGCTGCGGCCTCTGCCTCAAGGCCGACCCGCGCTTCGAGTGTGGCTGGTGCGTGGCCGAGCGCCGCTGCTCCCTGCGACACCACTGCCCCGCTGATGCGCCCTCGGCCTGGATGCACGCGCGCCATGGAAGCAGCCGCTGCGCTGACCCCAAGATCCTCAAGGTAGGCCCCGCCCCTGCCCTAGCCCCGCCCAACTGCCCTGGCCCCGCCCAGCCGGCCCTGGAAGGGCCCCCTGGCCCCGCCCCACTGCCCTGACCCCACCCCACTGCCCTGGCCCCGCCCCACCACTCTGGCCCCGCCCCACCACCCTGGCCCCGCCCCACCATTCTGGCCCCGCCCTACCCTGGCCCCTCCCCCCCTGCCCCTGGCCCCGCCCAGCTACCCTGGCCCCGCCCTGGCCGGCTCACCTGCCTGCAGCCCTGCCACCGAACCTGCCCAGGCAC